ATACTGTATTTATACAACGACTGTTGCAACAACAATGGCATAGCCAACAAACAGCTCATTAAACGATGAACCTGGATTCGGGCCCACATCATTACCACTAAACTAGTTTAGGCGATCATGTATCTTTCGATACATGACTGATGAGGTAGATTTCTTTCCGTAGTTGCCATTTCTTTCTGCGGTAGACCAGTTGTCATTCAAGGCTATAGAACCCAGTCTGTCCTGCTATTTTACCCATAGCTGGGGGCGAAGAAAAAGAAGATTAATACCTTTCCCAAGAGTGAGGTGAGTGAATGTAATGGATTAGAATGGAATTCGAACTCTTCTCTCCGATTCCTCAATCCGAATCGCTATCCATTACTCCACCGTGCCTCCATACTAAACTAGTTAATATCTCGTTATACCGTCAGGCTTCATTGTTTTATGTCACACTGTGTGAGTAAGTAGATACACTCTGTGTCGCAGACTTGACGGTTAATTTATTTAATTCCAAAGACCAGAGCCGATGGAGGAATGACGCTACTCGGGCATCAGACGACAAACATTAGTCGTAAAACCAGTATTTCTACCCTCCCCATTGCTCAAAACTTCTAAAACCGAACCATATTGTATGCGGTTCAGAGAAACAAGAAAATAAAACCGAAGGAGTAAATCATATTTTTTTTAAAGCATTACGCCTCGAGCAAGGCGTGAAGCCACTAGGATGCAGGGGGTTGCAGAAGATTTGGAGCAAGAGCAGATAGGAGTGATAGAAGAAAGGATGAGGAGAGGGATAGTGGATAGATCAAGGTAACTGGAGGTGTCGATTGACATTACATTTAAATAGTTGGAGATTATAGCTCTCAGGGAAACAGTAATTGTGAAGGGTGTTCCACAGGCGAGAGGTGCGAGGTATGAAGCTATTGGAGAGAAGAGACGGCTACATTTAAAAGTTTCTACAGTGAAAGGGTGAGAGCGTGATGCCAGCCTTGTAGGGTGCTTGAATTCATAGAGTCATCAACTAACAAAATAAAAAAAAATTTAAAAAATAAATAAATGGGGGGTGGGGAATAAACACACTTTACTTCAGACTGGTTAAGTCATTATCAAAAAAATAAGTGCCGTCCATGTCGTTGGTAATATTCCGTTGGATACATCCTATTAGTTTATAGAAAACTGAAATGCTGACATCGTAAGTAACGATTAAACTGAGCGACACTAGACCACAAAGAATGCATCAAAATTATGCCTTTTTGTTTCGTTTTTACGTATATTAAATATATTATACACATTTGAAGATAATGTCTCTTGTGATGTAAGATATTTTATATAATGTTGAGTTTTGCATAATAATAGCGTCTAGGATTTTGAGTCTTTCTTTGCATTAAGTACTGTAGAATATTTTGGTATTATCCATTAATATTTGTTGTTCGCAATGTGCTGATCGCCATGTGCAAAAAAAAAAAAAAAAAATATGGCCGTACATGCACCACACATTCTCGTAGGTTAACTAGTAACCTGTTGAAACTGAGTGCAATTAAATAGACAGGGCTCTGCCATAGCGTCAAAATCGAACCATATGGTTTGGTTTACGGCATATCAACCTCAATGGGTTATTTAATACCGACAATTTTTTTTTATTGCTTGTAATATTTTTTTTCTTCAAAAATCTATTGCTGGTAATATTTTCTTTTCAAAAATATATTGCTAGTAATAAGGTATTACCGGTAATAATTTTTTTTACAAAAAATTTTTTCTGGTATTAAAACCTATTTTTACACTTTAATGTTTTGACCCCAGTTTAGCTGGAACCCTAACAGGTGCTAAAACCCCGAGTCAGGGTGAACCTGCAAACACTAGCAATTAAGAGGTGGTTCTACGCTCCTCAAAACCTCCTGATCAGAGGCCTTGCTGTTGGATGTAGTGGCTCAGATAAACCAATAACAAGAGAAACGCGGAAAGAAAACCGACTGAACAATTCATATAATTAACAAAAACATGGAAGAGTAAACATAGCAGTGACTGAACTCGATTTACAGAATATTTAACCGGAATTTCGAGTTTAACATTTGACCGACTGCTAAACCTGCCACTGTTAACCCTCGATACATCTAAATGCCAAAATAGGTTCTCACTGAACTGTGAAACGACACACGCGCCACCCGCAGCCGTAGACCTATTAGCGATTGACTTGCTTCTCGCGAAGTCAAATTTAACGCCCAAGCAGGGGTGTGTACCGACCGTGAGAGCATGACTGCATCAGCCACCACCCAACGATCCGGGGAACAGGCTGACTTGTCACAAGAAAGGACATAAAGCTATTCGCTTCGACCTCCCATGTCGTTTGTTTTTAGACAGCGTGATGAATGACTTGGCGTCCCGTGTTAATACCTCGATGGGACACTAATCATTCGACATGCTTTTACAAGACAGGAACACCAGGCAACAATCGAAACACACAGATCTTCTTATAGTTACCCCCACTAAAAAAAAAAGCCATCGGTATTAAAAATAAGTGAAATAATAGGTACCTCTAAACTCATACGCACTTTCGACATGTGAAAAAAAAAAAGAAAAAAAACTTCGTTTTTGAAAATTACCTAAAATATAGGAATTTGTGGTAAAATGATATAAAACCAATAATTAAAATAATAATAGAGAAATAAAAAAAAAAAAAATTCCCATGATGCAAGTTATAAAAGAAACCGGAAAGGGTTTTTTGGTCACATGCGCGATTTTATGATCCCACTTCCAGAAAGGACAGAATCTTTTTCCACTTTACAACGACACCGTTTGGACTTGTGTTGGCAGCCCTCATGAAGTGAATTGGTTGTTCTAAACCAGCACAAAGCTAACTAGAGTTCTACCATTTAAACGATTGTTATCCTATCTTACTACTGAACCTAACGGACACATCCAAAGGTCATTGTTTTAATACAGTAAACATAAAAATAGAAATGACCCTATTAGAAACCCAGCTTTTTGTGTGATGCTTAATTGCTTACATATGAACACGCATCCACGTAAAATACACACAAACCGACAACCTATTAATTTCCATAAATTATTGGATTCCATTAAAATTTTCAGCATTTATTAGTTAATGAATTTTAGAGGTTCCTAATATTAAAACGATCACATGTCGAAGGCATAATATCATTAATATTGAGCGTGAACACATTTAAAACAAGATCCAAATGTAAAAAAAAAACAAAAAAAACAAACCAAAAAAAAAAAAAAATTATTTTTGTGGAGAGTTTAATAAAATATTAGACTAACAGTGACCCGTTGGATCACTGACGGTTCAAGTTATAAAACAATGAAGTTGATGTCAACATTAAAATATTGTCTGTTTGAAGAAAGTTGAAATAAAAAATACTTACTGTATCAACAACTCGTATTTTTAAATTTTATTCACTTAACAATATTTTTAAATCACATTAATGTAAAAATATATATTTTAATATGTCAAAAAATATTTTAAAATCATTCTCTTGAAAATATTTTTTAAAGATGGCAAAAATATTTAAATATTTAAAATATTGTTTGTTTAAAGAATGCTGAAGTAAGAACGTACGAAATTACAGAGAGGTAGAGAGAGAGAGAGAGAGAGAGAGCGAGAGAGAAAGAGTCAGCTGGAAAGAGAGGGAGATGGGAAGAGAGTGAGGTGAAAAGCGGTCATAAATGTAACTATTTGTCAACAATCCGGCTGTTAAATTATGTCACCATCTGAGACGAACACACACCATTTCCTTCTCTCCCCCTTCCTACACTATAGTAAATTTACATCTTTTTTCACCCATTCTCTATATGACATCTGGCAAACACACAAGCAAACAAAATCCACAGAATTTTATAATAATGACGATACTTTTGGTTTCCAGAGAAAAAAATCTGATGTATATTTCATTGTAAAAAAAAAAAAAAAAATTGTTATTAATTTTATACAATGTGACTATAAAACTCTTTAAGATCTTGGTCGGTACTGATTAAATGGATATAAAATAAAACTGTACTTGAAGAATCGAAAAATGTAAAGTTTAATGTGATTTTCGAGTGGTTTTTTTTTTTCAAATACATTTTATTTATTCTATTTTATAACTGTTTCAATTTTTATTCAACAGACGATCAAAAATGAAAATTCCAAAAAAAAAAAAAAAATTCTGAATTTTGTTCCGTGACATAAAAACGCCACTTTTTAAGGCCACCAGACATTATTAAAACTTTTGACCAATCTAATGCTGATAGCATTTTTGTCTGTTTAATCAAGTTTTTGTTGCCATTGTAGTGTTGAAAAGTAATAAAAATAAAGAAATAAATTAGATAACATTGAATAATTGGTTGTAACTGAGCTAAAAAATATTTCCAAAATTTTCTAATAGAATAAAGTTTTTCAAAAAAAAAAAAAAAAAAAAAAATGTAACGGATGACAAAGTACTGAAATATTCATTAAGATCAGACAATTCGCTGATTTTTAGAACCTTAAAAAATATCTTTGTCGAGTTTTCATCCTAAAGTGTGCTTGGCACGTGTGCGTATCACAAATGTTTTATGACATTAGTAGCGATACGGAATAAAATCAAAGTAAAGCTAAATTAGCGATTAACAGTTTTACCAATTTTCTGTACCTTTTTTTTTTTTTTTTTTACTAATGTTCACCCAAGAGCTTCTCAAGGTAGAAGGTTACTGTGTCGCGTTGTATTAGCATAAGAAATTTATCAGGGCTAAGCAGGAAAGATAACTGCTAACTCTAGACTTGAGGTTAAGATTTAATTAGTGAATAAGAGTTCAAGTAAACTTTAGAAGGAACCGGAAACGAAGGATAAACCTCATATTCTGTTCAAAAGATCTGGGAGGCGTGTGAAGCGGATGATAGGCAAGCCTATCTAATTCTTTATTTTATTTCAATAAGTTTTCGAATGAAAATAATTATAAAGACTTCTTTGGGTACAATGAATTATTTTGACATCAATATTATCAATAAATAATTAGGAGTAAAATTATCACTTAAACGTTTATGAATGCTATCATTCCTATTATTTATTCCCTTTTCTTTTGATAGCGTAAGGAATTCAAAATTGTTTGTTTTAAAGTTTCATAAAGCTTTTGTTAAAATAGATTTTTAATGTATTTTAATTTCTCTTCTGTCGACATCCATCAAATTCGCTAATCGAACTCGGCGGAAGTTTAGTTTGCTTTTACTTATTTCTTTTAAAAATTTCTAAAATATTTAAAGACGTGAAAAATGTTTCTTTTTGTCGGATTAACTTTAGACTATTATCTTTCAAATAAAACTAAAATTTAACTTCAAAGATGGCATTTAAATTATTTAAAATGCGTTGTTTTAGTTTTTATTTTAGAAAGTTCATGGAGATGTTTAAATAAATAAACATACAAAATAAATTTGCTGTTCCTACCTTAATATATCATCAAGATGTCAAAACTCCGAAAGGACACACAATTTGCTGTACTTTGGTCGGAGACACTGGCAGCCATTTTTTTTTTCCACCAACTAGAAATAGGAAGACTTCCGCCAAGCAACAGAAACACATTTATCACTCCGACCTCAGCCAAATTAGCTATCTAAATATACGAGGGTGAAACCAATAAATAGTTTATGAGCAGTTAGTCGACTGACAAGTGGACTATACCACCGCGCTTTATTTTAGCTATTTCGGTGAATAAATGCCGAGACCCGTGTTCAATGTCAGCTCGAGTAATAAACCTTTCACTAATGTCTCACACAAAACATACATTATATATATATATATATATATATATATATATATATATATATATATTTATTTGGTTGAATAATATCGACAAGTTCCGTCTAATAACTTTTTATTAAATTTTTCAACTTTCCGAATTAGTTGTTTTAAGCTAACGGTAAATATATTTATTCTATTTATCGGTCTGAACACTCGAGACAACTTAAAGAAAATGAACACTTCGGCACGGTAAGGTTTCTCGAGCATGATATATAGAATGAAAACAAAGTTCCTATACACATAATCGAGTTTCAGTGAAACAGTTTTCTATTTGTCATATTCTTCAAACATTTTCTGGATTTTATATCCTATTTTTTTTAAAACATAACCTAGTTTTACTTAAACGATTTAAGGGTGAGTCAGAATGTGTTGTTTTGATGTAAGGAATACTGTGGTATTTTGGGGTCAGTAATTGTTGCTAAGTTTAAGATTAGACGGATTAAAGACCAGTCTTCCCCTATCACCACTTTTTGGCTATGTTACCACATTTCATACATATATATATATATATATATATATATATATATATATATATATATATATACTTACACACACACACACACACACACACATATATATATATATATATATATATACATATATATACATATATATATATATACATATATATATATATATATATATATATATATATATATATATATATATATATATATATATATATATATATATATATATATATATATATATATATATATATATATATATATACATATATATATATACATACATATATATATACATATATATATATATATATATATATATATATATATATATATACATATATATATATATATATATATATATATATATATATATATATATATATATATACATATACATATATATATATACATACATATATATACATATATATATATACATACATACACAAAACATATATATATATATATATACACATATATATACATACATATACATATATATATACATATATATGTACATATACATATATATATATATACATATGCATATACATATATACATATACATTTATATATATACATATGCATATACATATATACGTATACATTTATATATATACATATACATTTATATCTATACATATATATATGTACATATACATATCCGGAACCTCCTGCATGCAGACAGAAATTTAATTAAGAAAATATACAAAAATAGAAATTGGTGAAAGTCAAGGATGTGTCTTCTATTGGAATCTATTCAGTGCGGTGATTCTGAGAGATTTAGAAGTTCTACCAGGAATCATTATTGCCAACCACAATCTTAACAACATCAGAAATGAAGCTGGCTTAGTGTTGATAGGAGACACAGAAACAAACATACAAGAACTCTTATAAAAGATCGTAAAGCAAAGCGAAAACAAAGGATTAAACATTGATTTCATGAAGACAGAATGCAAAATAAAGCAAATACCAAAATTTAAATATCTGGGAAGTGTGTTAACTGGGGAGGTAAAATGCGACACTGAAATCCGAAGATACATTGGGATAGCCAAAGATGCATTGCAAAAGCTAAGCAGAGTATTAAGAAACATAAAAAATCGTTAAAATCAAGGAAAAGTGTATGACATTGTTATATTGCAGTGAATACTGGACAATCCCTGTTATCAGATTTTCTCTTTCACCTTTTCCTTCAATCAATTGAAACTTTTTCATTCAACCATTCACCTCTTTTTCAATTTTTCATTCAACCCTTTCTCTCTTTTTCCTTCAATCGTTTCCAAATTTTTCATTCAATCTTTTCTACTCTTTTACACTTCACTCCTTTTTTACTTTTGCCTTCAATCCTTTCCCAATTTTTCCATTCAATCATTCTGTAACAGAGAGAGGTTGACGCACATGAATGCACACACGCAAATATAACTTTTATTGATTGAAGATGGAAAACACGATCTTCCGTGAAAGTTACAAATTCTGTCAGCGCTATTAATAAGAAAGAATGTAGAACAATGATATATGAAACCTGAGACGGCTGATGGATAAAAAATAAATTTCAAATCGGGTTGGCGAGCACTTGTTTATAAACAAATGCAAAAGGGCAGGAGGCGATGTTTAATTTGGGTCATTAAAAAAAAAAAAAAAATAGACGAAAATAATATTTTTGATAAAAACATATTGAAGTAAATTGAACCGGGGAGGTAAGATCAGTGTATGTTTACCGCTAGCGAAATCTGATCTAAACATAAGTTGTATCCGCTGAATTTGGTCATCGAAAAGACAATTGAAATGAACATTGAACTAATTAATTTTATCCACTAAGAGATTTGAAATAGATCTGAATTTAAACTTTGCTTACGGCGACACTCGTGTTAAGCGCGTGAACAACCTGGCTTATAACCTTCGGTTTGCTATATAAACGCGAGTTTTGCTGAGTTGGGGAGACTTGGGTGTTAGACGAGAGTGACATTGAGAGAGAGAGAGAGAGAGAGAGAGAGAGAGTGAGAGAGAGACTGTCGTTGCAGTGAGTCGGTCCAGTGGCGAGTCAGAGATAAGAACTTCAAGAAATATCATCGTCGTTGTAGCAGTCGCATTGAAAAGTCGCTGAAACTTAACGTTTGTCACTTACGACAACCAACTGAAAAGCTAGACTTCCACGTAGGGCTGGAATTACGAGTCACATATCCTCCCAAGTTGATTTGGAACGAGTTAATCACACACACACACACACACACACACACACACACACACACACACACACACACCTCTCTGTTGGTATAATTGGTAGAGGAGTGGTCCTCTGTTCTTATGTTAATTGCTTTTCTATCCTTTCTGTAAACTCTTTCTACTGTTGTTGTTTTCTTATATAAAAGACATCAATAATTTACCCATTGTTGTTCGGATTCTGCAGATATTATTTCCTTGTTTGCCACATTCTAATTTTCCTGTCGCCCACCCTCACAGCCGTGCCTACATCTCCAATCGACCGTGAACGTATGGACAACACCTCGCTTACTGGATCTAAAAATTAACACAACGTGGGCAGCAGGCGGAACTTGGCCAGTGACCGGTCGAACAATCTACGGGTACTCGGGGAGCGTGCGGCCAGTTACCCCTGAGTTCGATTCAGACCGAGTGGGCGCCTCAACCCAAAGAAGAAGACGCCGGAGGTTGAGGGGCTGAAGGGACGAGTGGTAGAATTCCCCGCCTTTTTCAATTTTCCATCAACTCTTTCCCCCATTTTCAATTTTTCTTTCAACCCATCCCCTCTTTTTCATTTTTTCCGTCAATCGGTTACAACTTTTCATTCAATCATTTCCTTCTTTTTTACTTTTCCTTCAAAACTTTCTCCCTTTTTCACCGTTTCCTTCAACGCTTCTCTTTTTTCCCTCAATCATTTCCCATTCAATCATTCCTCGCTTTTTCAATTCCCCCCTTCCCCCTTTTCACTTTTCCTTCAAACTTTCTCCCTTTTCCTTCAATGTTTTCCATTCAATCATTATCTGCTTTTTCAAATTTTCTTCAACTCTTTTTCACTTTTTCCTTCAAACAATCCTTTTTTTTTTCAATTCTTTCCATTCAATCATTCCCGCTTTTTCAATTTTTCTTCACGTCTTTCCGCTTTTTCAGTTTTTCTTCTATTCTTTCTCTTTTTCCTTTAACACTTTCCCTCTTTTTCACCTTTTCTTTCAATCTCTTCTGTTTTTTCACTTTTTCTTTCTATTCCTTCTTTTTCACTTTTCCTATTTCTATTCTTAAATTTCTTCATTCCACTGCACTCTTATTTATCTAAACGTATTCATAATCTAATCTTAAACTATGCATCTTATATATATATATATATATATATATATATATATATATATATATATATATATATATCTGTCCGTTATCTATCATCATTATTTATCTTTAGCCCTCTTGATTGCTTGGTTAGTACATTAGTTTCAGTGTATGTCCTTAATATTTGACTACAGGAAAAACTCAGCATGTCTAGCACTGTACACTGAAGCTATTATCTTGCCAAACAAATTAAGAAGCCATAGCAAATTTCCTTCTCGGTGCCAATTCCTCCTGTGACCAATTCCGAAGGTATATCCACAGCTACTTTGTTCACGAAGACAGATGATTACCTTGCATCTTTTGTGTTACACTTGAGAGAAATTAGAAAGTATGGACGAATGAAATGATAGAGTAACAAATTCATAAGGACTGAGAGATCCTTGGTTAAAATTAAAGGCCAGGTCAATTGAGTTTTTCTGATATTGGCTTATATTATAATTTGAAAATATATGAATAAAGAATTTTTAAGAGTTGTTTTGAAGTTTGTACAAAGGAAAGATAGAGGCTTATTATTTAATAAGAACATAAAGAAAAACAGTTTTAATTTGGAGCAGAATGTTGAGGATGCAAAAAGGAAACGTAGAAGAAAATGACAAAGTCGGAGAAATTAATGGTCGAAAAGAGTATAATAAGAATTTGAAAGATAGACAAGCAGTTACGAAAATAATATAAAGAGATGGATTTCATGAGGGAGAAAGAAAGAAAAGAAAAGAAAAGAAAGAAAGAAAGGAAGGACGAACGAAAGAACGAAGGGACGAAAGAAAGAAAGAACGACAAGGATAGACAAGCAGTTACGAAAATAATATAAAGAGATGGATTTCATGAGGGAGAAAGAAAGAAAAGAAAAGAAAAGAAAAGAAAGAAAGAAAGAAAGAAAGAAAGAAAGGACGAACGAAAGAACGAAGGAACGAAAGAAAGAAAGAAAGAAAGAACGAACGAACGAACGAACGACAAAGATAGACAAGCAGTTACGAAAATAATATAAAGAGATGGATTTCATGAGGGAGAAAGAAAGAAAAGAAAAGATAAGAAAGAAAGAAAGAAAGGAAGGAAGGACGAACGAAAGAACGAAGGAACGAAAGAAAGAAAGAAAGAAAGAAAGAAAGAAAAGGATAGACAAGCAGTTACGAAAATAATATAAAGAGATGGATTTCATGAGGGAGAAAGAGAGAAAAGAAAAGATAAGAAAGAAAGAAAGGAAGGACGAACGAAAGAACGAAAGAAAGAAAGAAAGAAAGAAGGAAAGAAAGAAGGAAAGAAAGAAAAGGATAGACAAGCAGTTACGAAAATAATATAAAGAGATGGATTTCATGAGGGAGAAAGAAAGAAAAGAAATAAAGAAATGAAAGAAAAAAAGAAAGTAAAAAGAAAGAAAGTAAAAAGAAATATGAAAACAGGGAGAAAAAGGAAAAGGGAGAAAAAAGGAAAAGGAAGAAAAAGAAATAGGAAGAAAAAGGGAGAAAAAGTGAGAAAAAAAGAAAATGGAAGAAAAAAGCAAATTGGAGAAGAAACGAAAAGGGGGATAAGAAAAGTAAGAAAATAGGAGAAAAAGGAAGACAAAAGAAAAAGGGATAAAAAGATAAAAGGGATAAAAAGAGAAAGGGAGAAAGAAAAAAGAAAAATTAAATGAATTTGATAAGAAAAAGAAAGAATAAACTAGAAATCGATTTAATAAGAAATAAAAAAATGAAAGAAAGAATGATAAGAAAGTAGTCATGAATTTAACATGAAAGAAAAGAAAAGCATGAATGAAAGAAAGATGGAAGGAAAAAGATAAGGTAGAATTAATGAATATAATATGAAAGAAAGAAAATAGTAGTTCACTGAAAGGAAGAAAGAAAATAAGGAAATAAAATGACAAAGAAAGAAGGAAAGAATCTCTTTTTAAAAAGAAAAAAAACTGAAAAGTAATGCACGAAAAAAGTTATCAGGCAGAAAAAAGTATAAAAATTAAAACGAGACACAGCTAAACAAAACTTAAGAAAGAAAAAGATTGAAAGAAAATATGAAGAAAAGAACGACGAATAAATGCAGAGAAATAAAGAGAAAGTTTAAAAAAAAATCAAAAAGAAAAAGGAAAACGGAAGCAAAGCATTAAAGAACAAAAAGGTTTGAAAAAAAAAGAAAGAAAAGAAAGCAATGACAAAATGTATACGAGCAAGAAATATTCTCTAATTGCGAACAGTGTCTAAGCAATCATGGCTTCCTCCCTCTTGAGAACTACCAATCTTCGTAAGACAATCAATAACTCATGCTTAAATTGTAAATGTTTCTACTTTTTTGCTTTATTTGAAAGTACGCAATAAATAAAATAAAAACCTACTTGTGAATTAAATCCCAACAAAGTTGACGTACTAAAGCAGCGTTATTAATTAATCATAGTCACAGTTAATATACTACATAAACCACCAATAACTTTAGTAAAGTTTAAGACTTATTTATTTTTATAATCATTTCACCACAAGCAAGAGAGAAGTGTCACTAGTACGCAGAGAGTTGCAGAAGTGAAAGTGATACCCCCCCCCCAAAAAAAAAACCGAGAATAGAGAGAATTGAGGAGAGGAAAATGATGTACGGAATTCAAGAATACAGAATATATCGATTGACGTTACATTTAAATTTTTGAAGATTGTAGTTATCAGGGAAGCTAGTAAACGGAAGGGACTTCCACAGACAGAAAGTGTTAGAAAACAAACCGTTGAAGTAAAAGTGGCAGTTGTATTTAGCCATTTCAACAGTAAAAGGGTGGAACCTAGTTGCCAATCTAGTACTACGCTTAAATTAATGCAGTTTGGGTACCAGGGAAAATAGCTCTTCAGAGCAGTTGCCATGAAAATATTTGTAGAAAAGACAGAGGGAAGCCACGTCACATCGGTGAGAAAGTGACTGAGGTCGAGATCCCTAAGTTTTTGCATGTAAAGATGTGGCTAGTTTTTCAGTGGACGTATCTTAAAAAGAAGTCTTAGTATTTGAAATGTTCGTAGAAATAAACATGTGTCTGAATTAGAAAAAGTTATTCTAGAAAAGTTAATGTAATTACTAATATTTTACGGGAGAAAACAAAGTAAAAACGTATTGTTGTGGATTCCGAGATGAAATTCGGTCTCCAATGAATGACAAACGCAGGAATTAAAGATAACAAATAAATGTTTTTACACAATAATACAATTGGTAATACGGTTAGTAAATCCAGAAACGTGGTTAGTAGCAATAATAATATATATATATATATATATATATATATATATAGTCTGGTAAATCCAGTCTCGAAGTAGGACTTCCTTAGAGCCTACGTGCTTGTAACTGTGACTTCTACAAGCGGTTACCTCACACTATTACTCTACCTCCAACTCAATCACTATCTCTCTCTTCTCCTCTAACTGACTCTGGGTATTTAACGGCAGCAGTCCAAGTACATACTGGTCGAGTCCACTTGTATGAAAAAGGGGTGGACCCCATAACACGTATTGATGGATGGAAGCTAATATAAAAATCTAAATTCTCAGTGAGTCTTGATATCATGTCCTTTCGTTTCCTCTTTCTGGTCAGGTAGTCAATTGGCGTAAGTTTGTGCAGACCAGATGGCATTTTTGAGTTTACTGAGCGGTCATGCTCAGTAAACTCAAACTCAGTGTTGCAAAGTCTCGTATTCATCTATTTTTGGTGGACACATTATTTTATAGAAATAATTAAACAACGTAGAACAAATACTTATCAACAATAATTTCCCCAACCATCTTGACAACGAGCAAATAAAATTAACTTTAAAGAAATTAAAAAAAAAAAATACATACAATAATTCCGACAAACAAAAAATAAACACATCATGAACTCATCCACTTGTAACCGGATGCACTCAAACTATAAACAAAATTAAAAAAAAAGAAAGATTAAATATAATTCGCTTGTAGATATCACTTAACGATCTCAGCAAATATCCTAGATTTATAATTTACTATAAAACGTTGAGAACATCTAATCCAATTATTAATAATAACTCCTGACTTCAAGAATCCTCCTTATTTAAAACGTAATGTTTATTAATCCTTATGACTTTTGGGAGATTGCAGCTCCAGTATCAATATTAAAATAAATAAAAATAAAAAAATCTGACATTGGCCACACGTGCACCTTACTCTCTCGTAGGTTGATTTGTCACATATCGAAACTTACTGCAAATATTGATCAACATATCATAAACAACTAAAATACAACTCTAACACAGTAAGACAAATATAAGTAAAGAATCCATTAAGATTATTAGGTTGTTACGTAAATTCGCTTGATTTTTTAAAAATAATTTATTTTAATACTTATAATTTATTAATAGTTCTGATGAATTATTCAACAATGCATTCGTCAACGATCCACTTACTGTTCAACGCGTCGACAATAGAAATCATTAGGTTCTTAATCGGAAAATCATCAAGCCACGTTTTCAGCTTCACATCGTTGTTGAATGAAACACCCCTTAAATTGTGAGAAATCGACAGGAAATTGGTGGTAGTTTGAAAGGGCTAAATCAGGAGAATATGATGAGTGTGGCAAAACTTTTCTGAGTTCTGTAATTGCATGTTTGGTCATGTTAATGATGTAGGAGCGAGCATTGTCATGTTGAATAATCACACTTTATTACCAGTCAGGTCTTGTCAGCTGAATTGTCTCTTTCAGCCTGTTTATTTGTTTAACATAGAGCTTAGCATTGACCGTTTGGTTGCTTTGAAGTATTTCATCTTCGTACTCAGAACAAATGTCTCGAGCCTCGAGCAGCTTTGGCATCCTTGTGACCTTTATCAAAATGTTACACTATAGGTATAAAATTTTAAACGCGTTAAAACACATAAGTATTATTCAATTACATCATTGGCAAATTGAAAAATAACGCTTCCGAATGTTTGCATTTTGTGTTTATTTGTAAGGTTCTATGTTATAATATAGCTATAAGCTGTTAAATGCGTTAGCAATACATAAGTACTGTCCAATTACATCATTCGCAAATTAAAAAGTAAAGCTTCTGAAATATTTTTTATTTGTCACCCTTACTGCGTATTTGGTAAAATCATATTTTCATTTTGGGGGTGACCTCCGTCAAGAACTAACACAAATTAATCCCTTTTTAACCAGTTTGAACAAAAAAGCTCATCGATTTATAACACAGGAACATAAGGATACAGTAAAGTCATAACCCCTATATATATATATATATATATATATATATATATATATATATATATATATATATAATAATTATCGACTCTCCTGTCGAGATTCGACGTATGAGGGTCAAGCAGATCAGTTTCAGGAAACCGACAGCCCGACACCGGCACATGAGATTTGATTATAGTGGTAAAGGCTTCGTGCAGGACCATCCACACTTTTTGAAGGGACGAATACAGCTATGGGTAAAATAGAAAGACGGACTGGGTTCTATAGCCTTGGATGGCAACTGGTCTAGGAGAAGGACAACTCTGAATTCAAAACCTGCGGAGGGTCGTTTGGGAACCTTGTGGCATTTGGTGCACCAGGTCTCTGTATATATATATATATATATATATATATATATATATATATATATATATATGTCTACACATACACACACAATATTATTTGTGCAGAAAAACCTTATGTATATATTAGAGGACACACACAAACACATATATGTGTGTGTGTGTAAATTATTGAATCAGAAGCAATATATGTTCGCAATATTTAGCGGAGTTCGACTCGGAATATCATGATTTCTTACTCGTCAGAACACGGATAACAATTTTATCATAAGGAACATTGTATACACGTACAGACATAGGATGTGATAGGTAAATTGTCACCATTTTATATTTTTAATTTCGCGCATGCGCGTCTTTTGTTTTTTATTTTGTCGACTGCACAGTATAGTAAGGTCAGTTGAGCACCGTCTGTGAAAAAAAAAAAAAAAAAAAAATGGAAACATTATGCTGTACTGCTTGGTCTTCGCGCCGGAAGCTCCAATACGAACATTTTAGAGTCTTTGGGTGTCCATCTGAGGACAATGCAGAGGATTCGGAAAGAGTTGGATGAGACTAAATAATAGTTTGGTAAAAAAGTAGTTTTTAAAATTCAATGAAATACTAAATTCACTTTTAAGATCCAGCAACAGAAACGTGTCCGTGTTTGGTAAAAAAACAAAATAGTTCTTAAAATGCAATAAACTACTAACTACACATTTATACATCCAGCAGCAGCAACGTGTCCTTCATAGTTTGTTAAAAAAATAGTTCTTCAAAGAAATGAAACACGATATGCACATTTACATATCCAGTAGCAGCAACGTGT